AACAAGACAGTAGACTACAAACACTGACTGGAAGCGATAATCAAAGTGTCTGAGATTGGCATGTGTTCCTTTCTTGACACCTACACTGTACTGTGCCAACTCAACTGCCACCGAACGAGAGAGCACAAGGAAGAAGGTTCATGGATGGGTGGACCGCCGCCAGCGCATCGAGGCTATGGCCAATCGCGCATGCACGAGCCGCCAGAAGACTGCCCGGTTGCGAGGCATCGGAACAACCTGCCACAAGAGGCAGAGGAGCAGCTGATTCGATGGGTGCATGGTATGCGCAGGACGGTATACCTGTCACGTACGCAATGCTCAGAGTCATTGCATTAGAAACTGCCATCGACGTGTGTCTGACTGAGGTCGAGTTCAAGACCGGGTGGCACTGGATCCGTGGGTTCAAGCAGCGCAATAACCTCACGTTTCGAACGAAGACACGCGTTGGCCAGGACACGAATGAAGATGGTGCTCGTACCCTTGAAGCGTTTGCCGAACGTATTCACGGCGTCGTGGCGGAACATGGGATCGAGCGCATCTACAATGCGGATTAAAGAGGGGTGAACTACGAGTACCTCCCAACGAAGACGCTCAACGAGGCCAAGGAGAACACGGTGTGGGGGAAGCGCGGCGGGAAGACCAAGGACAGAGCGATGGCCATGCTTCTGGCGGACAGCACGGGCGCCAAGCACCCGCTCTTCTTGGTCCTGAAGACAACGAAGTCGACCGTCAAGGAAGTCGTGCAAGAGAACCTAAAGAAGAGTCAAGAGTTTGGCAAGAAAGTCTGGAGGGAGGTGCTACCTCTGCAGCGTGCGCACCGGTGCCAGATCTACGGGAACTCGGCAGCATGGTGGAATGCTGGGATATCTCTTGCGTTCTTGAAGTTCCACTTTGCTTCGCGCGCGGACCGGGCAACGAAGAAGGTCATGCTGATCTGGGACGACTTCAGCGCGCACTTCACCGAGGAGGTCGTGGCCTACGCTGAGAGTCTGAATGTCGTGCTGGAG